GTAGCAATTGTAGTAGTAGTAGTCGTCGTCGTCGTGGTGGTGGTGGTGCAGCAGTAGTAGCAACAGAAGTAGTGGTCGTAGAAGTAGCAGCAGCAGCAGCTGCAGCTGCTGCAGCAGTAGTCCTCGTGGTGGTGATGGTACTAGCAGTAGTAGAGCAGTAGCAGCACCAGCAGGACAGTAGCAGTAGCAGTGGCCCTAGCAGCAGGAGAAGAAGCAGTAGCAGTGGCAGTGGCAGAAGGGGCAGCAGTGGCAGCAGCAGCAGGAGCAGTGGCAGCGGTGGGGACAGCAACTTACAGAGTAGCAGTGTAGCGGTAGCAGCAGCAGTGGCAGTGGCAACGGCAGTTATAGCAGCAGCATAGAGAGAGCAGGTGGTATCGGCAGTAGCACCTAGGTTGTGGCTGATTTCTTCTCATGCCTTCATGCCTGGGCTGGACAGAGAGTGCACGGCAGCTCATACTCGAAGCGCACGTGTCAGCCATATCCCCGGGATTCATGTCAGCTGCAAGTCTGACCTGAACCCCAACACGAATCCGGAGACTTGGCCGCAATTCAGGCTCAGGCATTCCATGATTCCCACGCAAGGGCTGAGGGTGCATTCTTGCTGAACTCTAGGGTTCGTTCAACGGCCGCTACTCTTTTCGGCAGGCGTTGAAGCCTTCGCGTGGTCACTCGCCAAAGCTGAACATGCAACTGCATACTACAAGTCACTTTCAGCTTGGAAGCAGAGAGGAACAATCCTAATCCTACATCACAAGATATTGTAATGCACGACCACACCAGAAGAAATGTGCTTGAGAGCATCAAAAAGCCATATGCTATGTACTTGAAGTTTACACACAACTATTCATTGGCCGATACCCCATGCAACTGAGAGCTGTCTGAGCTGTTCGTTTCTATCACTCACATACAAGGTACACATGCATGCACATAAGATAGGGCACAAACACGCTAAAACCCATGGTAGCACGTAGTAGAATCAGATATGGCGCAGCACTTTTTGATATGTATGATATGAACATATAATATACACGCTGTGTGCGTAATTATGTTCATCGTTTATGAAGGCTAGCATGGTACATGGGGATTCATGGAGCAACACCTGGAAAGCTGATTCCCTGATGATGTCTACTGATTCTACCGGCTGCCAGCCCTAAATGGTTCTGACCCACAGCTCGTGGCTAATGCCGCCGAGGCAGAACAGAAGCCCATCAAGACGACATCATTTACCGACGGACCCTCTTCTTCTACCACCTTCGGGTTCTTACTCATACCCGGGGACTTGGGGACCGCACAGGAAGAAGCAGCAAAAGCCTTGCCCTTCGAGTCATGGCAGCTTGAAGCGGCATGAGAGACTAGGCTCCGCCTACGAGTATCCCTGAATGTAAGCTCTTGTATATAACTGCACAATGTCGCAACAGTCTCTTGCTGCCACTGCCCGGTAGAAAGTCACCCCATCTGCATCCAACAGCTGTGAGCCAAAGCCGCGGACTCGAGATGCAAGCGAGCCGACTTCCATCCGTTTCGGCACATGCACTGCACTACAAGTCAATTGGGCAGTGGGAACTTCTGTCAGAACGGAAGCTAGCCCTAGCTTACCGAGTCACGTCGGAAATCCCACCCACGAACTGAGCCCTGAGGCCTCCAAGCCGGCGGCACCTCATGCTTCCGCTTGATTCAAGTTCTGGGTATGTTGGCTTCATAATGCCAATTGACTTGCTCATGAATTTCTCCCCTGAAGGATCTGGTCAATCTCAACTTCCCCTGACCCCGCCTAGGTAACTTCCCAGAGCTGCAAACAGGACCAGATGGCCCATTGCAATCGGAATTAAGCTTCTTTCAGACGCCCCTTCGCGAATTGTGCCACTTTGTGATGCTGCATGCTTAGGGCCTTGGTTTTAGAGCAAGGCTGCGCTGGTCTAGCGCTGAAAGACTAGAGCTGCGCATGAGCTTCTTGAACATAAGAAAGGGCTGCAGCGGCGAGTGAGTCTCACGAATGTAAATGCGCACTTCAGCCGTCATCTCGTAACCAGAAGCCAGCCCCGCGTCGTGTGCCTTGCCCAGTAAAACAGACGAACAAAGCACCAACGTCCGTTCTGCAGCATGAAAAAGCAGATAATCCCGCAAGATGCTAGGCTCTGTTCACTAGGAGGACGACCACTACTCGTACTAGCGCAACTACTATTACTACGGTATACTGTACACTGCATGCTGAATGAACTGACATAGGCAATCCCATGTATTGGGCGGAACCCAGGCGGCATCGCATCATCTAATGCCAGACAAGCTTGATAATACAAGTTGTACATATGGGTGTTTCCAGAACCAATCGTGTGAAAATCATGCCACAAGAGCAACCCTGAGAAGATGGGAATAGGTCCTAACAGCGATGGTCAGGTAAGAAAACAAAACCCTATGCTCAAAGCCCTAAATATCGAATTTACAAAACCCCCAAGAAGTCGAAGGACGAAAACTAGGGATCCAAAACCTTGTCCACCAAGCCCACAAGGCTCATTCCTTCCGCCTTTGTATCGTCAAAGCTGGTCTGCAACTAAGACAGCCGAGGAGTGGGGGCTGCTCCCTGGGTCTCGATAGGAGCCGGCGGAAACCAGTAGCTCGCAAAACCTAACTTCTTCATACTGAAGAAGACCGCATCTTGTCCTCGAGCATCAGCCTAGACAGGACGGAAACCCTATGCACCATTTGGGATTTTGTCTGCGGGCTTCTTACTGAGAGCCAAGGAGTTGACAAGGTCGTGCACCGCCACAGGAAAAAAAAACGAGTCCCTGTCCCCGCAGCCACGAAAGTGCCTGGGGACTATCTGGGAGTTGGCTCTTCTCCTGTGAGGAGCCCATAAAACCCCCCAGAAGACACTCTAGCATTAACCTACGTATATACATATACCTGTGTGCATATGTGCGCGCGTGCATATATATATATATACCTACACACATGCACTTACATATTGTACTCTATACAAATATATGTATATATACACACACACTTATACACATACATGCATAACCTCAAAGCCCTGTGAAACGGCTACACATTAAAGGGGTGACCTCACCGGTCCGTGGCATCCAGCGAGCCGTCGGTCTGGCGGCGCTCGTCTGACTCGGAGGCGCATTGCTCCCAGTCCTGAGCTGCTCCAGCTGAAACTTTTGAGGTTTAGGGTTTAGGGTTTAGAGTTTAGAGTGGTTTTAAAACTCGCAGCAAAGCTCGTATCACAACTGGAGTTTTCTTGTTATCCGAAGCTTTCGTGGCTACTTGTTTCTGTATTCATGGTTTAGGTCTTGGACTTGTTCTGCGGGTGGCTAAGTTTTTAAACGGTCAAACCGCCGACTGCCAAAATGCAAAAAGACAGAAAGTGCTCAAAATGGCTCGGAAACGAGCTGATGGAGAACCACGAAGAAGGCCGCTGCAGCCAGTGTGGTTCCGAAAACCATAGCGTACCACATGCCTTTCTGGACACCCCTTTACCCCATCATCTTCCAAGCCCTAAAGCCTCAAAGACTTTGCCAGGCTGTAAGGAAATTTGCGACTTCACCGCTAGGGACTAGTTTGTCTGTACTATTGAGGCTCATAACCCTTAATTATACATTTGTTCTATCATATACCCCATGACCTTAATTTTTGTTTTAAGGCCTCTTTATTCTGCAGGACTATGGACAAGGAGACCAGCCTTGGACGCCGAAGTCGAAGGGCCATGCCAAGACGCAGCCCAGCGGAAGCATCACCGCATAGAAGGAAACCAAGTAGATGACGACAGCCGTGGTTTGCCTTCCTTGCAAAGAAAACTATACTGATCTAAACGACGTTTAAAACCAGACTACACTCGACAGTGCTACATTATGCTTATACCTATAGGTATAGGTATACTTTTAGTTATACTTGTACTCGTGCTTGTATTTGTTACTTCTACTTGTGCTGTACCGGTTATTAATTAGACGATATCATACTATAGGCAATATCGAAGATCAACGCGAGTCTGAAGTCCGACTAGCAAGGTGGAGAGAGGGTTGACGGGCCCGAGGGATTCAGGAGGTCAAGCGTCCCACCCCCCGCAGAGTGGAGCCCATTACGTTCTGAGCGCTGTCGGCATATCCCGCCAGAGTGTAGATCATCAGCAGATTAACCTGGACCGATATACCGAATGGCTTTCCATGATACTTTCAAGGCCCCAGAGTTGGCCTCCAAGTCGGAGGCCAGCAGCCGCGGGATGATGTTCTGCAGAGCCAGCAGGAGCAAGGCCAAGCCGCTCCACACCCCGACGCATATAGATACACATAACCTCGAAGCCAAACTCACTCGTAATCCGTGACCACTACACGTAGGCAACGGAGCAGAACGTGCGCGCCCAGGCACCAGGAGGCATCCCTCGCCTTCTTGGTGAGCTGAGCGCCAAGAGCAGTTCCGACGACAGTGGCCGCCGCCATTCCCAAAGACATGGTGGGCATAGCCTGCATGGGGGCTTTGGTGGATGAGGCTCTTCTTGGAGTTTGGGGGATCGTGCTACTTGGGATCCATGCACCCTGGAAACTAAACGACTACCACCAGAATCAAAACCGCAACCAGCACCAGATGTACCCGTTGCTCTCGCCGTCAGCTGCAACTACACACACCACGACTGACCACCACTCAAATTACAAAAGTCCTCTGCTGAGCACCCCGGGCAGCCAGTACCGTCACCAGGTTCATGGCAGCCACATGCGCGGCCAGGGGCGTTGGGCCCAAATATCCCATGAGGAGAGCACAGATCTCTCAAAACCAGAGCTCACTGCAAACCTGGACCTCGACTGCTCTTTGAAGCCTTGACAAACAAGGCCCCTCTGCGCGACAAAGACCAGCACTAAACATGAAAGCTCTGCTAGTCAATTCCGAAGTACTGTGGCGGGGAGGGCTACTTCCATGTAGCTTGGCCATTGGCGGAAAGCCTCCTTCTGGACAAGCAGCCTGGACACAAGACAGCAACTGCAAGTGGCAGGCCCAGAACCGAAGGAGGAAGAGAGCATGTTCGCATGAGTGGGATATTCTCGAAGGCCTGAGCGGATGCGCGTCGGGTTAATCGGGGTTCCAATATGTTAGGATTGGAACTGGCCGGCGACACATCAGGGTTCCCGTTTGGTCTGAAACCCGTCTTTCGAGGTGTAGTGCTGACGATGCGGCTCAATCCACTTTGATACTCATCTTCTCATAACAAATCTCCCAAAGCATTCTGTCGTTCTCCGGCAAAGCAACAGTTGTCGTGGTGTGGCATGGAGCTCGGATGCCTGGCTAACCAAAAACGCAGACCCGATGAGCCACTGCATGGTCCAAGTCAGGGCATTCGCCACTCCGGCGCCCATGTTGCCCCACTGGAACCTCGCTTTGGATGGGGAGCCATCATGACACGATGCCTAGAGTAGTCAGTAGTCCTGTTGATTCGAGTAGGGCGCCAGAGATGCTCCACGGATACAGTCGAATTGCAGTTAGTTAGCAACGTCTGAGGCGAGCTCTGCGCTATTTCCTACTTTCGAAGTCTTCCCAACTCATCCATTCAGCCACTCGAGACTTTTGGCTTCGAGGGTCTACGGCGCAGAGGCTTTCATTTTGGGCCTCAGACGTCTGCCGCTACTGCTCACTGGAAAGACGAGAAACACCACCACGAAGAGTATGGCCCACACCACATGGAGGAGGCTCGTGGCTGTGGATACCCAAGGAGGCAGTGGCATCTCCATGTTCTGCAGATATGACACGATGACCTCAACGGTGGTACTTGTCTGCTCGGAGGCTCCTCAACTCTAAACCTCGGCCCTCAAGGGCTCGCCTGATACTGGAAGTTTCCGAAGAGTCCAAAGACAGCCGCGCGATTGTAAGCAGCCGCATATCTCGAGACGCCTTCATGCTGACCTTGATGCTGGGAAATTGGGTCAAAGAGTCTTTGGCTTCAAGTTCTGCGTCGGGCGCAAGAACTATTCTTTGGACTCCCTGCCACAAGACCTGGCCCTTGCGATGAACCAGAGGGCAGAGTAAGACAGAAGCCCAAAGAAAGCTCGTAGCGCAGGGTTTGAAAGGTGGGGTCACCGCTCGAGGGGGTCGTGCTCTACCAACTCTCAAAGCTCAAGTCACTTTGGGTTTCGAGTTGCAGGCTTGGGGTCGCAGAATGCCTACCAAAAGGTTAAATCTTGAAGATCCAAATCCTCAGCCCCAATAAGCCAGGGAGGCGAGAAACCCAGCGCCAGGAGGATGGAATCAGTGAACCAGAGCAACGGAATCATCCAGACCAGCTGCACTGCTGTGACAAGGCGGCTGCGCTGGAGATATTGCGTGCCTTACTTCCCGGGCTCATGGACATGCAGGATAACAGCTCAATTCCCAGCCCTTCGCATCTATCCATGCATTCGCCTTCGCACAAGTGCCGCTCAACTCTGTAAAGCGTGCCTGAAAGAAACCCTTCGCAATGGAGAAGCTCTCAATCAAACTATCACTCTTGCAAGCGAAGGGCACTGCGAATGCTCTCCCGCACCGTTTGCCTGGCTGACGAACGTGTCCGGCGCGCTGGTCAGGCCCATGCCAATGGTCAGAGCACAGCAGTTTTGCATCCTGGCTCTGGTACAGTAGCAACAGATATGGGAACCATCAGGTCAAAGATCCCTGGACACCCTACAAAAGACCCTTCACAGCCGATCCAGGAAATTCACCCACGAATAGACTAAGGCTAGGGGGCCTTGTGGAACTCTCATCCCAGAGTCATGTTTCCCAGCCCCACGGCTGCAAGCTGCTGGGAATCCCCGACTTGGCCCAAGAAGACTGTGTTGACGAACTCGTTGAGCAGCATCGTGACGTCACTTACCATCATGGGAAACCAGAGCGGCCAGATTTCTGCCAGCAGCTGTCTTCGCGACGGCTGCGCCTGATACACTTTGCCGGAGAGGGCTGCAGAGTTCGCATGCCCACCCTGAACCCTGAACCCTAAACCCTAAACCGTCCCCGAAATCTCCAACAGCAACCAAAACCCTTCTGGCCTCCTGCGCCTCCGCCTGCAGCAGTGGCTCCCCGGCCTCTTTCCCATCCATCTTAACACGAAGCACGCGGGGCAGCCCTAGAGGGCTTCCGGGCTGCCTGCAGGAAGATGGGATCACACACTCTATAGACTATAGAAGCCCTTTAAGACCACGAGAGAATGCGTTCGAGTTTTGAGGCTGCCAGGTTTCAGAGTCTTGTGGGACGGACAGGGGAGGGTCAGTTGATCCGGAGCACGAGGCGAATGATGCGACTGAATTTATCTACTCATGCATTGCCGGCCTGACGCAACGAGCTGCTCGCCAACGAAGATGCACGCTTGCATCACTCCCTAGTGAGCTGCTTTGGGAGGGGACCGCCCCACTGTTGAGCCACAAGTGAACACGAAGTGAAAGCTAGCACAGGTACATGCTGAGCACACATAGCTCCCTAGCCAATATATCATCGGCCCCCGGGAACCTACGACTCTCCTTTTTTTTGAGACGGCTCAGCCCTGCCAGCGCCCAGAGAGTCAGCCTGGGGCATGTCAAGCTGCTCAAGAGCGAGGCAGCAAGGAAATGCATTACTCTCTGCTTCTCAGTCTCTCTCTGACCAAACGTTCGATGCTAGTGCATACGACCATATTAATCATATACGTGACATAGCTATGTGCGAAGTGTGCAGCTGGCCAGACTTCGAGCACTGAGTAGAGGCAGCATCGAAATAAGTTGGAATCAATGCCGAGGAGCCTTCGGACCTCGAACGCCCATAGTATTCCTGGACAAGGTTGGATGCGAGGCAGGTTTGGCGGATTGCTGGGGCAGGAATTCACCTCGAACCTGTCTTCCGTTATCAAGACTGCTATCGCAGCGCCAAAAACGTCCTAAGACTGGGCAGGAAAGGTGGTCCTCGTATCTCGCCTCTTGCCATTGCCGAATCCATTCCTCTTCGTCGAACTGCTGCGAACCTTGCGTGCAGCCCGTCTCGAGACGACAGAGGGCACGAAGCCGAATATTCTAGGAAGCTATTTAAGCGGACAGCGGCATCCGAAGTGGCGGCAACTGTTGTACTGTGTGGCAGAGAGCCCGACCATAGTCTAAATCCAGGTCAAGGTCCCAATCCTCATATGGGTCAGCCGTCCTCGTAACGTCTGAGCGATCAGAGCGCTTGCAGAGATCTTTATGCTTCACTCTCCACATGTACACGCACACATGCGTGCTACACATGCGGCGACATCGTTGTTGCTCAACCTCTACTCCAGAAAGCTGCTGATCAGGAACACAGCTGTGTCCTGCCGTTCATGTAGTCAATGTACGCCTGCAGAGAATCGTGCTCCTCTTCCTCGGCGACCGAATCCGGAATCTGACGAACGTCCCAGCTTGGGGGCAACCGGCTCAGATGATTCGGACATTCAAGGTTCAAGGCTCAAGAGCTATCAGCTCGGGCACTTTCTTCGGTATTGAAGAGATGTCATGACAAGGGTGCAGGGTCAGTCCGTGAAAGCAGGAACTTTGTCGCTTCGGGGCGTTTGGATGTCGAGGCTGGAGATTTTAGGACTTGGAATCTTTAGTTTGCAACGACTAAGTCGCATGGCGGAGCTGCAGAATGACTACAGCCTCGTCTCTGCTTGATACGTTGCAGTCACAAGCATGCCAGACCACAAAAAGGAGCATGATCAAGGCCACGGCTATCTTCGCGATAGGTACCATAGTTTGCACGTCGGAGTCCATCTCCTGGAGAGCCATACATCCTAAGCGCTACAATGTGACTCTAAACCCTAAACCTGGAACCTTCAAAGATCCAGGACCCCTGTAAACTCCGCCGTCCTCCTCACTGGAGGGCGCGTAGAAAAGCAAGTTAGTGGGATCCACCTTCCAGAAGCTCCTCAGCGCAGGAGCGGTCTCTGGTCATGGACTTAATCTTCACACGCTACACTCGTAGAGATCTAATTGCACCACAAAGAAGAACTTTGTATACAAGGTATCTGACATAGCAGTGGGCATCCAGGGGATGAAACTTGCTTCTAATGATCCTTATGATGTCTTATGCAAATTTGACGATCTGTCGGAGACCGGTATCCACACACATAGGGAGAAACTCGCCAGTTTGCGGACCGAGCGCCTTCCGTTTCGGGCCAACCAGTTGGTGAGGGTAAAGTCCACCTGACCGAACCAGTTTTAGTGACATGCTCTGTTCTCTAAAGTATCTCTGATACGCTCTGATCGTTTCCGACTGCATCTACATTGACATCTAGTCGCTGTGGCAACGACTCCAAGGGTTTCCTACCTTCGCAGCACAGGCCCTGCTTCCTAGCTGACTGATCGCAGAAACTGGCTGCACGATGCTGTGCAAATGGCCACCACTGCAACCGGCAACAGTACCAACACGAACACCAGCACCGCCACCGCCGCCAAGAACCACCAGAAGACCAAGACGACACAAGCAAAAAGCAACGACACCACAGCAGCAGCAGGAGCACAACCTCGAAGACACATGGCGGGCCCGGGCAACCGTGGGCCGCATGCACTCCGGCAGACTCCGGCCGGGTGTAGACCATGAACTCCACTAGTCAGATTCCACTCATGTCTTGAACATGCCACTACTATGCACTAGCTATCCGCAGGTGCGAGAGCTCGCACCTGTTTTCCACATAGCTTTGTTGACGTCGGAAGACAGGCCGTCACTCTGCGGCCGACGATCCGAAATTTGTAAAATGAAAATGCGGCAAAGCAGCATTCACAATTCGTGTGCGAAGCCTGCAAGCAAGCGACTTCTAGCCTAGCGCCCTCAACCTGTCAGAAGTTTTCGATGTACCTTCGACAACATATTCAGTAGCAGACACCAAGCAGAAGAACAACACCAAAAAAACACCCACAGCCGCAATCAGAACCATGGGTGCACCAACAATAGCAGCAGCCAGAAGATGAAGAAGAAGCAGCAAAGCAGCGACAACAACAACGACAACAGCAGCATCAGCAACAGCAAGAAATACCACAACAGCCAAGATCACAACCACGACGACGGACGACCTGCGCGACTTTGCTGGTGCGGCGACGACTTTTGCTCCCGCTGATGTTGCTACTGATACTTCCACTGCTACTGCTAATGCTTTTGCCGTTGTCATTGGCACAGCTGCTAAACACGACGACGAAAACAAATACTGTTACAACTGCTCCGACGACAAGTAGTACCACTGCTACTACGACTGCTACTGCCACTGCTACCCCTACTCCTACTGCTGCTTCTACTGCTACTGCTACTGCCACCGCCGCTGCCGCTGCCGCTGCTGCTGTGTCTCTGTTGCTGCCCCTGTTGCTACTACTCGTGAGCAGGTCGATCAGCCGCGAACTCCTATGCCACAGCTCATTCCGAACTCTGTCATAGGTCATCATTGGTCATGGGTCGCCTACTACAGGCATCTACGATAACAGACCCTCAGTACTGCACAGGCACGATGTCTTCAAGCATCACTCGAGAAGGCTGCCACAAGCCTGCCTGGCTTTCGATGGGGAAAGCGTGGTCTACTAGTTCCTGGGCAGCCTCCTTGCGGACCTTCGAACATGGAGCTGCAAAACTTCAAGAAGGCAACACCAGAAATCGATGCAATAGCCCAGGAGCCATCCACGCGCCGAGGCCGAAGACATGCCCGTGTGACCTCAGGACAAATTGAGCTCGATGCTCGGACAGCTTCGACAACGCTGGAGCTCGGCGTCGTGCTGTATTAACTCGACCTCTGCACCGTCAAAGGACTCATCGATTGTGCCCTTGTCGACGGCGAGCGGATGTACCCTGACGAGCTCCGTTTGAGGATTGCACCAGAATTCGCAATGATCCTGCACATGTCCAATCTGATCCTGCAGTTGTTCGTGCAAGAGCACATGTCGGGTGCAAGAGGATAAAGAGGCAGGGTGACCACCAAAGATGGCACACGGCCGCAGCCTCCCACGAGGATCATGGTAGGCGAGGCAAACGGCATCCCAATCTTCCGGCAGCTCTTTCCTGTACTCAGAACTACTCAGAGCCGGATTCCCATGCCGACACCCCACACATCCAGGAGTCGTGGTCTGAGGCGACAGCAAGAGCTTTGAGATTGCCAGGTCTACTCTCGGGACGACGGCGTTGACGTCGTCCTGAGACCGCCAGGAAGATGCCCAGCTGCACGCTGCAAACCCCCAGGCCTCCAGAATCAGACCCCACTCGGCCGTCGGGTGCGTGGCAATGCCTTTGCACGAAACGCCCTAAGCCCTAAACCCAAAAACCCTACAAGTTCAGAGCCCAAACATCGGTGAAAGCACTAAACTAAACCTTATACTTTCCTAGTCCACTAACCCAGTTTTACACAATAACCGAAGCCTTATGCAATTGTAAAACATAAACCTCTCAACCCACCAACCCGGTCCTTTGATAATACGTTTTAACCTTTCATGGCATCTCATTTGCGTGTGACATATCTGTGGTTGGGAAGGGTTAGCAATTGCGATGTTTTTGGTGCATACAAACAAAGCATCAAACTGATCCTTCGCAGCTATCCTCTCAAAAATACGACCTTGAATTAAATACCCCTTTTGACTAGTGACTAGAAGCTGGTCTTCCCCTGCTTTGTCTCACAAGTCAAGCACAATGTCATGTCAATGTAGCTCAGCAGCCCCAACATTGATCCTCAACCTAAAATCAAGTAGAAGCCACCCCGAAGCCAGTGCAAAGGACTTACCGCCCCGTGGATAAACGTCAAAGCTTGCATGAGCACCCGGCGCTGGAGCGCCAGGCGGTGGGACAGAGCGCAAGCGATGCCGCCCACCGTGAGGTGGTCGTCAAAATGAACCAAATTCCCTTCCTGAAGCTGGGATGCCAGTGACAGTGACTGGCAAACTCATGCTGGCAAATGCTGGCAAATGCCCTCCGTTTCACGTCTCGGAATCTGACCTCGTCGTGGACAATGGTGTAATGCTCCTCGTCCACTGCGCGCCTGCTATCTACAATCTGGAGATTACAGAATCAATGTCGACCGCTGCAACTCAACATTTGTTTGCCAGGGCCTGGCACGCTCCAAAGCATAGGGACCGACGGCGTCCACGACCACCTGTTCGGACAAGAGCTGGCGACAAACACGGGCAAGAGCACTATGCTATATAGCACCTCATCGTGCTTGGATGTCCAAGCCCGGCCTCATCATCTAAAGACAAGGCCAGCTTGTCGATGGCCTCGTAGGCACAGCCAAGAGATGAAGAACATCAGGGAATCCCTTTCACAAGCGAGGGCCTTCAAGGGACCTGGTGCGTGAAAGGACTCTATATGGCCCCCTAGGCGCCTCCACGCGCTCCAGGCGGCCAAGGAGGGGCTCGTTGGCTTCGGCCAGCAAGGAGCGAAGCCGCTCTGATCGGGACATGCAACAGGACTGCAACCAACAGAACAGTCGCATGTAACACCTGGTTAAGGTGGTGATAGAATCTGAATAGAAGAAAAGACCCACAAGAAGACACGCAGCAGCAGATGGGAGGTGGCTAAACGGCTCGCTCGTTAACACAGCGTCTGCAACGCATGCAATGGTTACATCTGTGACTAGAGCCATTACTGCAGCTACCGGTTGGTCCTAGTAGCTGCTGCGGGACAAAGTCTGGAAATGCGATGGAGCTAAGGGGGGTGGCGAAAGTCCACACAAAAGGCTTCCGAGCCTTTGCGATCAGCTCTTCTTTCGAGGTTTATGAACAAGGCGCACCACCTGGGAGAGCAGAACATCTTGGTAAGGTCCCAAGCCCCTGAATTCAGCACCACCTCCTTACAACGGCCTCTCAAAAGTGCTGTATGTAGCTCCTCTTCCCCAAAGAAACATGGCACTGCTCAGATAGCATCATGTAAATGTTACGGCCCTTGATGCATTCGGGGCCGTGCCTCCCTGGGGCAAATCGGACAATTACCACGAGTCGACGGAAGGTTTCTCGAGGCGAGGGCTCACCCAGCTCCGGGGGCACTGATTGAGCTTCGCTGCTTCCTGGCAGAAAGGGTCAGGATCACTTAGGCTGGGCGCAAGCGTCTCCAATCCAACAACTTCCAAGAAGCAGATCAGAATGATACGATCATTTGCGATGTGGGAGCTTCACAGAGTCAGGGATCCTAATGTAGAACCCCCAAACAGCACTGGTAGCATTCCTAATTATCAGGACTCCCCAAAAAGGGATCCCGAATTTTCTGAAGCTCCCATATGTAGAGGTAATGTGGCACTCCTGGATGTATGGATCTATGACCTCCGGATGCCATGGGAAGGCACGACTTCAGAAGCAGCCAATCCCCTTTGTACATGGGGCTGTTTATGCCTATGCTAACTCTCCAGGGAGAGATTGAATCATACCATCCGTGACTTACCACCTGGCCAGACAGGCATGAAAGGCGAAAGAAGCACAGACCGCTGAATTCCCCCACTACGAACCAGGGCACCATCCAAGACACACAAACCTTCAAATCCACGCGCAAACTGCACGAATCCACGTTTAGGAAAGAGTTGCGATTGTTGCAATATTAAAAGGCCCGACCCCTGCCAAGACTTCTCGACACATAAGTTTCCTGCCCACACGATTCAATGAAGCTTTACACTTCGTGAAACCTCAGTTACGCAGCTCAGCTGCAGGAACAGTCACTTCTGAATATCTCGAACAAGAACATTCCAATCTCAGCCTGCTCGGAACAGCATAGAAGGGCCTTTGTCAGTCGCCCGGCATGCTTGTCGCAGCTCGCGTGAGTGTCTGCACCTGTCCAGTCCAGAAGCCAGGACAGTACAGCCTTTTCTGACCTGCCCCGTCAATGCCCACTCACTCCACCATTAAGTTTACCGTTGTTTACTGCAGGTGCCTGGCTTGAAGGCGCCGTTGTATTCGCAACGTCACACCTGCAGCAACCTCACGCGCTTTGACTTTGACACCAGTGCTTCTTCTGCATGGATATGGCAGGGCAACACGATAGGGTGCGACGCCCAAGATGTTACCCCAAAAGCCGATTCAGCAGCAAAGCTGAGCTAAACCTCTTTCTTGACAAGGCAACCTTCCTCTGATAGACACAATACGTAAGCTGTCCTGCCTCATGGAAATTAGAATGAAGGGGTGCAGCTCGCAGAATCAAACCAAACACGAAACAAACCGGGAAATAACCTCTGAACCCCAAAACCCAAGCCCTACACCCTAAAACCCTAAAGCCTCAACCCCAACCAAGGTAGGGGCCTTAAGCTAATTTGGGTTTAGGGTTTAAGGGCCTTAATCTAACTTGGATCCCTATTCTCATCATGTTTAAGGTAGGAGGCTCTTAATCAGGGGCCTACACTACCCTCATACCTACAGGCGCCGCTGCAAAAACCGAAACTCCAGCGGCAGTCCCGAAGCCTCTAAATGCCCAGGGCAAAAACTCCAGATTTAGGGTTTAGGGCTTAAGGGATTTAGGGTTTAGGGCTGCCAAAAAACCCTAGAATTGTTGCAGGCACTTGGTGAAACCTGGAGCCCTTCAGCGTATACCAAACTCCAAGCCGCTCCGTCTGACACATGTAAAGCCTCCTTTCCGAAGGCCCTTTTGTCTAAATTCAAAGCCCTCGACGCCGAAACTTGAAGACTGAAGGGGTAGACCTTTGAAGTGATCCGGAGAACGCCCCGCAAGTCCAAGCTGTCTTGGAAAATCCTAAACCCCCACTACTCTCAGTCCCACGCCGGGAAAAAAAAAACCTAAAAATCCATGCCGCACGCGCCAAAGCCCGAACTTGAACTCCCAAACCTTGAATCTCCAAGTCTTGGAGGCCAGGCAACAACCGAGCCTCCGAATGCCTCAAACACCGAACTGAACTCTAAACCTAAATATCTCTAAACCCAACATTGAACCCGAAATGCTGCAGCTCCAAGCCCAACCAAAATCGGAAATCCCAAAGACACACAAACGTCGACATCCAAACAACTCGGTCCTACATCCTCGCCTTTGAGAGCTTCTTAAGCCAAACCCGAATCACAGGCCCTGGACGTAAATCCCAAACGCAGAATCCTGGATCCCCAAACTCGCTTTCCCTTCATACAACCCAAAACCACGTAAATCACGAACCCTGAAGTCCCGAAGTCCCAAACCCGCCACCCAAGACGTAGATCCGAAGCCTAAACACGAAAATCCCCAAGTCCGAAAGCCCGAAGAGGTAAACCCTAAACCTTGAACCCTTGAACCCGGGGTTCTACTTCTAACTAAACACCCAAACCCAAGATCTTCAGAGCCCCAAATTTAGAACACGTGACATGATAGAGCCCGAAACCCTGAATGCGAAACCCCAACCGACCGGCTTTCAGCATGTTCAGAATGAAGAGCTGGTGTTTGGCTGCCAGAAAAGCGTGCATCCCTGACGTCCGCTGAGGCCTTTCCGCCGTTGAAGTGGCAGGTCTTAGCCGTAGCTGAACATTTGGCCCGATCTTCCTCACTCCGTTTTCCTGTTTTTCAAACCAGGGGCGGGCCTGCGACAGCAAATACACCCACACGCTTCCGGCAGTCGTTTTGGTCCAACCTACACCGGCGCGAACCTCACCCTAACCCACAGAAGGTCGGAAGGCCTGAACCCGAAAATAAGCAATATTAACCATCCAAGCCTGGCACCATAGAGCCGAATCACCGAAACCAAAAAAACAAAACCCACGGTTTAGGGTTTTGGGTTCCGGGATTTTTTAACACCTCTTTTCCATCTGCCCAAGGGGTGTCCGGAATACCATGCTGGTTGAGGCTTGGTTGAGGGAGACTGCAACACTAGCACGACAAGTAGCATACCATTACTTACACCAAAATTCAAACTTTCACACAGCCCCTTGCAGGGTTCCGGGTTTAGGGTTTAGGGTGCTTCATGACCTCCGCAGCCGACTCAAGCCAAGTGGCGGCGCCGAGGACGGCACTGCGCAACTCCACAGCGCCTCAGAAACTAGGTGTCGGTAATGCTGCAAAAATGGCTCAGTAACATCGGGCAGCCGATGTGCTCGATACGCCTGGTATCGCCTGGTGGCACTTCCTATAAACCTGATTGACTTCAAGAAGTAGTTCTAGGCTTTGGCCTTCGATTCTAGCAAAGCATAATTCCTAAATCGTACTGCGCTTCGCAGAATAGAAAATGAAGAACATCGAGACTTGCTACAGGAATAAAACTATACAGAAGATGGAAGGACCGAAACTTCCTTGACATGACCAATAACATCATCAACAACCGTAGCGTCAATGTCATCTCTCCGCAGAACCATAATCATTGCCGTAATCATCATCCTATTATTCTTCTCCTTCTTCTTCTTCATAACTATCTTCATCGACATCATCAACATCATCGTCATCACTATCATCATGAGAACCATCGTTTCCGCCGCCATCATCTGCAACGTAGCAGGAGCTAGATGATGCAAATTGGTCGTTGTCGAGCCTCTTGGAGGACGCCTTGCAGAGGCCCGCTGTCCTGGAAAAGCTACAGCTAGTGCTCCGATGCCTGAAATGAAACAACCCAGGCTCCTGCAGTCGAGCCGACGGCACATGCGCTGCAGCGCGGGTTGGGGACTTGCCAGAGCCTGGCACCGGACAGATCGAATTCTGGCTTGGGCCTTGTTGGCCGATCGCCTGAGCATCGAAGGCTGGCCGATGCTCGCCATGGCCCGATCCGCCGGCAAAGTTTCCTTGCGATATCGAAGTGGACTGTCCGAAGCTGAGCCAGGTTTTATCTCGCTCCTTACTACACCCATGTCGCGATGCTTGCTTGGCTTTCCGTGGTTCTAGTGGCTGGGAGGAGACGGCAAATCATCACGCAATGCCCGTGCTTCGACTCAACCTCGCTGCGTGCATCAAGAGAACGGCATCAGCTGCAAGCATCTTTTGAAACCGATTTCAGATTCTCCGAGTTGGGCTCATTCAAGTAACAAGCCCAAGCGGCCGAAGGGGGCCAAGATCTCATTAACACGAGTGCACAGCTCTGGCATCAGTCGGTCTGCCATAGGTCAAGCCTGGGCCAAGCATGCTAGCAGCTAGCTTCACAAGCGCTGTTGCCCACACTGGCCAACGCTTGCTGTTGGAAGCCTGAAATCAGAAGGTCGAAGCCTGTCAAAATTTAAGAGCTTCCCCAAATCTGCGATCCGAACTCCCTTTGGGCTAAGGCAGGCGCAAGCCCTGCGGCACGAACTCCGCCAGATGCACCCTTGGGAATCCCAACAGCCTCGGATTCGTAACACAAAGCAGGGAGCAAAATGGAGCTGTAGCCCCGATCTTACTCCAAAAAGACAGCAGTAGAGGCGGAACCAGTATGCCTGGAAGGCAGCAGCACGCCTTTTTTCACTTCTGGCATGGCGCACGACACGCCTAAAGCGGATCGTGGGGAGTCCATCGGTAGAATCGAAGCCTCGGATTCGGCCATCTGTCTACACAGGTGCATCGACTCACTGCCAAAAAGCAGAATCTAAGCAAACAGCAGAAACCAACCTCCGTTAACACGGTACAGCTTGAAGCTTAGGCTCTCACAGCGTCGGGTCACCATTCATGGCAAACTTTAGTCCAAGAGGAAGTGATGGATCCCTCAGCCTGCACGTCCACGTAGTCAGAACGCAAGAAGCGACTGGTCATGCAACCACGAAGCCGACACAGCGAAGACAGCGTTGCCGACGACAACTGCTGCTACTATGTCGACGGCTACTACTCCTCCTATTCGTGCCACTTCATTAGCTCTACCTCTACAGTTCCCTTGACCTGATGCCATAGACAGAAGCCGCAAAGCCTGCTGGGCCACAGCCAGGTCGCAGCCTGGCGTGAAGTCTTGAAGGAGCTTTGGCATGGCTGCCAACGGCAGCACCAACATGCACATAAACAGCAGCAGATTTGCATCAATACCATCAATACATCATTCTTGCAGCTGTCATCGTCGTAACCACCGCTACATCACGGTGACCATCACCGCCATCATCACCATCATCTCATCACCACGAGCTTCAAGCAGCACTACCATCATCAGCACTGGTGACGTGACACCCGCGACAAGCAGAAGGTTAAAAACAGAACGAAGACATCATCAACAATGAGCAAACAACAAACAAGAAGAAATGCACAGACCGCAATAAAAATTGAACGCAAAATCCGCAGCATAACTGTCAAAACGAGAATCTGCCGAAGAATCGCAATGATGAATGATGACAAAGATACCCACAGTGCTTAGACTGTAGTTCCCGGCGTGACGCTGTCAAGTTCTTGTTCCTAACGACCAGACCCGATGTTTTGACGAGCTTGGCACAAATATGGGATGGACAGGCAATGGACAGGACTCGCGATTCATGTGTCTCTGAAGACGTGATTTCCTTCTCCTGGGCACAGTCTAACGAGTAGTCCCTGATGTTCTGCTACTCCCATGAAGACCTGTACAAGACTTACGGACTCTCTCTTTTCACCACTCTGGAATCTGGAACCCTGGTAAGACACAGAGCGTCGACTTCGTCCAGCAGACTTTCACTCCACCCCAACTCGCACGGTCTTGAACGAATGCCTACACATCTTACAAGCTTTGAGACATTCTTGCACTACCACTGCAGTAATTTGTTCACAGATCAAACGGGCCTCTGGCTGGAAGACCACGTGCCAAAGGTGCCTCGTGGTCTCAGAATCTCTCAGAACCGCTAAAGGAGCAAGACTTTACGGAAACAAATCAACCGCTGCAAGTGAGGCCAGTGCTCGAAGGCCATTTCCAACCCCTCTCGCAATTACAAGCAGGCAAAGAGAGGGAGAGAGACATGCATGATCATGCATGCGACTCGAGCCTTGTGGAAGCCGAACCAAGTGAATTTCTCCTCCTTGGTCCTTTCCATTGCTGTCAGGTCCTGGATCCAGATTCGCGCTTTGATTGTTGTACTGCATGCGGAGCGCTCCAACTCCGGATCCTTCCAAGACAGAAACTTTGTTCCAAGAAGGAGCCGGTAATTGCTGCCGCCTGACATAGGCCATCAACTCTAGGGCGTTCGTCCCAACGACAATTAGAATGTCTGGCAAGCTTCAGCATCCAAGTATCTAAGCTACGAGCTGCACAGAGCGCGCCATCCATTTTGCCAGAACGCCTCCCGGGTGCGGCAAACATGTTATGAAAGCTTAATAATGATAACAATAATAATAATCATCATCATCATCTTAACAATAATAACATTAATAACATTAAAAAAATAATAATAACAACAATGACACAGTGCACACTTGGATCTGTTGTTTGAGCCTCCGCACGGCATGACGCGACTTGCAGCAGGAGCTGGAGTTCGAGAAGACTGATGAGGGAAACGGTGCAGCCAGACCGATGCCCTCATGTTAGAATCTTAGAATGCACTGGCTGGGGACCGTTGCGACAGAGACGACAGGAGGCACACACCACAGGACAACCAGTGCAGCGCTGCCTTTGGCCTGGCTTTTGCGGCCTCCCGGCTGGCCACGAACTGACCGTAGTCATAGCCGCCGTAGTCGTCCTTGCTTAGCTCTGCTGGAGGAACACGCTGCATCGAGACTGCTGCGCAGCCTCCGGAAGCTGTGGTGGGTGGTGGAAAAGCAGCTCCCACGCCAACTCCACCCACTGGCAGTACCAACCTGCAACGATTCGCGTCACAAGTACAAGGTGACGATGACGGAGCTCGAACCGGAACTGAACCCAGGATCCGCTTGCGTAGCCTGAGGGTGTACGAACCGTGTAGCGCTCCAGGACGGAGTCTCCTCAAGCTGTGACAAAGCCTCTTTGTATCTCTTTGTGACATGTTGTGACCGTCAACAAAGCCATCATCATCAGGAACCCCAAACCCACTGCCACGTCACCACGGCGACGATAAAGACGACGACTACTCGTGCGCACCACTGCTGCTGTTGCTGCTGCCGCTTCTACTGCCACAGATGCTGCACGACCACGACGATGAGAAAGAATGAGAAAGACGACGACCACTACTGCGAACTGCTACAAGTAGCGCTTCAATGCAATGGCGTTGCTGAAGGTTTGGGCTGTGCCAAGCAGCATGCTCTTCCCTCATGAACATCATTACTGTCATTGCGTCTGATTCTGTGCCGGGCACCTTTGGCAGGCGAAGCGAAACTACTCTACCAGTCTCCTCGGAAGATGGATGGAGCTGTCTTCCGCTGCACACCCTGTCCGTGGAAGTGCCGGTGCATTGCACAGAGAGCAGACCGATTGCTTGCACCTCCCTGGGTGCTCGCATTCGGCAGTACGATCGTATCTCCGAACGCACTCGTCCTGACCTGGAAGTCATCGTAGACTCTAACTCTACACATTGGCAACGCGGTGCCCTCTGGCCGAAGCCTAATCCCCTAAGCCGAGAACGCATCGATGGGCCCGCTGTGCCGACGGCCCAGATGCAGGAAGGGCAGCTCCCGCGGCCAAAGCCTGCGAGGAGCGTTTGTTGATGCACTGCGCAAGGAAAGGCTTCGGATTCCGGACCTCAGCGCGAAAGAGTTCAGGACTGACACCAATGCCGGGACTTCCACGTGCTCGTACACATCCACGTGGATGAACAACATGAAGTCCTCGCTCGGTCTTCTCAACGCAAGAGCGATGAGTTCGAAGTGAACGGGAGGCGCCAAGGTCAAGGCTGGCAGATCGTCATAGTGCTGCGCGACATGATGGAGATTCGGGGACACCTCACCAGTAGGTATCTCCTGCTTCAAGGTGGCACAAATCATGGCAGCAGCTACCGGCACCTATGAAACAAAAGACGAACCGTAGCGGATCACTACAGGATCTCTGAAAAGCGATGATGCTTTAGCTAGTCCGAAACGGTTGTAGATTTTGGCCCAACCTCATACTCATGACAACGGACACAGAGCGGCCTGCCTCATGGAAGGGGATGACGAATGCACGCCTGTTTAGTACGGCAGCCTATCATACAGCAATCTCCCCAAGATTGCAGATACTCCACACCCTAGGCAAATGAACCCTACGAAGTTTCAGCTATGGCGTTGCCTGAAGTACTTGGCCACGCGTAGCAATGAGGACGATAAAGCCACCAGAGAATGGGACGATCCTGCAACGAAGAGAAAGGCCTATGTCTCACCCTGTTGCGCTAACTGGCGCAGATCGACCGACCATGCCTTATGAGCCTAGAAATCCGCTTGGCTTTTCAGTTTACGTCGGGCTTTCAATCTTGCACCTGCGCGCTCTGAGCCGGAGGAGAGATCGATTTCCACCTCTGCCTCATCACCCGGTCGTGTGGATGAGAACTGCACTGTGAATGCAATGAATCATATCGGCCACCTCAAAATGTTGGCGCTTGCCTCATTTTCCAAGCTGTAGGCAGAACTGCTGACATTGAAGAAGGCATAGCAAATATCGTAGATGTATAGGTCGACAACCTGCGAAAGGCTCAGCACGTCTTACAAGTTTCTTCAAGAGAACAGCCTTGCAGCATCGCCGGACTGCTGGACTCGGCAAACAGTCTCCAAGCCTAAGCTCTACGAACCTTAGCTGCGCGCAGCTTGGGCCTCGGTTAGAGGCAGCGACTCCTCACACAGCATGACAACATATGGCACATATGTCAACTTCGAGCTCGGACTCTTGATGCCACGACCGCTCAACTGCTCGCTCCTCACTGCGGCGAACCGTTCGGGACACATCGAAACCCTTGAGTCCTGCAGAATCAAAGACTCCAGCTGCGGCAGATACTCTGCGTCTGCTCGCGCGCAGAAGGGCATCACCACGTTCACCTCCGAGCCCACACTGTGCTGCGCTGGGGGAAGCGATCGTCAGAGGGATTTGGCACTCCGAGGAAATCCTCAAGGCCCGCCTTAAAGCCGACCCTTCGTCGTTGTGCTGCCACAAAGGTCCACTGCTTGACCTCTGCACACGGCAGGGGCCAAAGGCTGGTCTCTTGGAAGGAGCTAAGAACCGTGCCTGTGCATCAATGCGATGAAGGCTCCGATAGATGCTGGCCGCTGTCAGGTTCAACCAATGCTTGGGAACCTTGGGAAGGTTGGCGCTAGCACCGAGCCCCGACAAACGACAAAATCTGGGCCCTGAGCTTCTCACTTCATCGGAGAAAGGCAAGGATCCTGAAGCAGACCACCACCCTGCAACCTTTCCATATATATATATATATGGGTAATGT